GTCGTCCTTCCTACAGTGAATTGATGGACGACACCCTGGGCTTCAAAGTCTTTCTCAATCGTCTCCGTACCCGAGCTGATGAGGCCCTGCTCAGCATGGTACGCAGTCTTTCTTGTGAGGCCTACTTCAAGCAAGGTTCTTTACCCGGATATCATGCCGCCTCGCAACTCCTTGAGCAGGCCATCACATCCACAGTGGCGGATTGCCCGAAGGCACGCCTCATTCTCCCGGCGGTGGGCCCCCACACCACCATTACAAGGGACGGCAAGATTGAATACACAGAGGCACCACGCCAGGGAGTGAGTGGCCCCACTGCGTACATCCAGTCGCTCCGCCAGGGCACATCTTTCATTGGTCTCAAGTCAGCCAACGTCGACACTCAGATCAACTTGACCGACGCTTTGATGGAGGCCATGTGCTTAGCACTCGATGATGGAATCTCCTTTGTTGGTAAAACCTTTCTGGTGACAGGAGCGGGTCAGGGGTCGATAGGAGCAGGAGTGGTGCGGCTATTGTTAGAGGGAGGAGCCCGAGTACTGGTGACAACGAGCAGGGAGCTGGCGACGACAGCCAGATACTTCCAGCAGATGTACAATAATCACGGCGCAAAGTTCTCCGAGCTGCGGGTAATGCCTTGCAATCTAGCCAGTGCCCAAGATTGCAAAGGGCTGATCCAGTACGTCTACGATCCCCGCAGGCTAAATTGGGATCTGGATGCCATCCTTCCCTTCGCTGCCGCATCCGACTATAGCACCGAGATGCATGACATTGGGGGGCAGAGCGAGCTGGGCCACCGACTAATGCTGGTCAATGTCTTCCGCCTGCTGGGGCATATCGTCCACTGTAAACAAAATGCAGGGGTTGACTGCCATCCGACCCAGGTGCTGCTCCCACTGTCACCAAATCACGGCATCTTTGGTGGCGACGGGATGTATCCGGAGTCAAAGCTAGCGCTTGAGAGTCTGTTCCATCGCATCCAATCGGAGTCTTGGTCAGACCAGCTATCTATCTGCGGCGTTCGCATCGGGTGGACCCGGTCGACCGGCCTAATGACAACCCATGATATCATCGCCGATAAGGTCGAGCAACACGGAATACGCACATTTTCCGTGGCTGAGATGGCATTCAACATCGCCATGCTGCTAACCCCCAAATTTGTGGCCCATTGTGAAGATGGACCTTTGGATGCCGATTTCACAGGCAGCCTGGGAACATTTGGTAGCAGGCCTGGTTTCTTAGCCGAATTGCACCAGAAAGTCCAGCTGGCGGCCGAGGTGATTCGTGCCGTGCAGGCCGAGGATGAGCATGAAAGACTCTTGTCTCCGGGAATAAAACCTACCCAGCAAGCACCCGTGGCCCCAATTCACCCCCGCAGTAGCCTTTGTGTGGGTTATCCCCATCTCCCCGATTATGAGCAAGAGATTCGTCCCCTGCTACCGCGTCTGGAAAGGTTGCAAGATCCGGCCAACGCTGTGGTGGTGGTTGGGTACTCGGAGCTGGGGCCATGGGGTAGCGCGCGGTTACGGTGGGAAATGGAGAGCCAGGGCCAGTGGACTTCAGCCGGCTATGTCGAACTTGCCTGGCTGATGAACCTCATCCGCCACGTCGACGATGAATCCTACGTCGGCTGGGTGGATACTCAGACCGGGAAGCCAGTACGGGATGGCGAGATCCAGGCACTGTACGGGGACTATATTGACAACCACACCGGGATACGTCCTATCCAGTCCACTTCGTACAATCCAGAGCGCAGGGAGGTCCTGCAGGAGGTCGCCGTCGAGGAGGATCTGCCCGAGTTTGAAGTATCTCAACATACCGCCGACGCCATGCGCCTCCGCCATGGGGCTCACGTTTCCATCCGGCCCAGTGAAAATCCCGACGCATGCCGCGTGAAGCTTAAACGAGGCGCTGTTATCCTTGTTCCCAAGACAGTTCCCTTTGTTTGGGGATCGTGTGCCGGTGAGTTGCCGGCTGGATGGACTCCAGCCAAGTACGGCATCCCTGAGAACCTAATCCATCAGGTCGACCCTGTCACGCTCTATACGGTTTGCTGCGTGGCCGAGGCATTTTACAGTGCCGGCATAACTGACCCTTTTGAGGTCTTTCAACACATCCACCTCTCGGAACTAGGCAACTTCATCGGATCCTCCATGGGTGGGCCGACGAAGACTCGTCAACTCTACCGAGATGTCTACTTCGATCATGACATCCCGTCGGATGTTCTGCAAGACACGTATCTCAACACACCCGCTGCCTGGGTCAATATGCTGCTCCTCGGCTGCACGGGGCCGATCAAAACTCCCGTCGGCGCATGTGCCACCGGAGTCGAGTCGATCGATTCCGGCTACGAGTCAATCATGGCAGGCAAGACCAAGATGTGTCTTGTGGGTGGCTATGATGATCTGCAGGAGGAGGCATCGTATGGATTCGCACAACTCAAGGCCACAGTCAACGTTGAAGAGGAGATCGCCTGCGGTCGACAGCCCTCGGAGATGTCGCGCCCCATGGCTGAGAGTCGTGCTGGCTTTGTCGAGGCGCATGGTTGCGGTATACAGCTGCTGTGTCGAGGGGACATCGCCCTAAAAATGGGTCTCCCTATCTACGCGGTCATTGCCAGCTCAGCCATGGCCGCCGACAAGATTGGTTCCTCGGTGCCAGCACCGGGACAGGGCATCCTAAGCTTCTCCCGTGAGCGCGCTCGATCCAGTATGATATCCCTCACATCGCGCCCGAGCAGCCGTAGCAGCACATCATCCGAAGTCTCAGACAAATCATTCCTGACCTCAATCACGTCGATCAGCAGCCCTGCTCCCCGCATACAACGCGCCCGACCAACCACTGATATGGCTCCGCTGAGAGCAGCGCTCGCCACTTGGGGGCTAACTATCGACGACCTGGATGTGGCCTCATTGCACGGCACCTCAACGCGCGGCAACGATCTCAATGAGCCCGAGGTGATCGAGACGCAAATGCGTCATTTAGGTCGCACTCCTGGCCGCCCTCTGTGGGCCATCTGCCAAAAGTCGGTGACGGGACACCCTAAAGCACCAGCGGCCGCATGGATGCTCAATGGATGCCTACAAGTACTCGACTCGGGGCTGGTGCCGGGTAACCGCAATCTGGACACGCTGGACGAGGCCCTGCGCAACGCGTCTCATCTCTGCTTCCCTACGCGCACCGTACAGCTACGTGAGGTCAAGGCATTTCTGCTGACCTCATTTGGCTTCGGACAGAAGGGGGGCCAGATCGTTGGTGTGGCCCCCAAGTATTTCTTTGCCACGCTCCTACGTCCCGAGGTTGAGGACTACTATCGTAAGGTGAGGGTTCGAACCGAGGCTGGTGATCGCGCCTACGCCGCGGCGATCATGTCGCAGGCGGTGGTGAAGATCCAGACGCAAAACCCGTACGACGAGTACGATGCCGCCCGCATTTTCCTCGATCCCTTGGCGCGTATCTCCCAGGATCCGTCGACGGGCGAGTATCGGTTTCATCCCGATGCCACACCCGCCCTCGGCAACGATACTCTGCCATCCCCCGGCGAACCTGCCGAGCTAGTGAAGGGCATCTCCTCCGCCTGGATTGAGGAGCAAGTGCGACCGCATATATCTCCCGGTGGCACGGTGGGCGTGGACCTGGTTCCTCTCGCCTCCTTCGACGCATACGAGAACGCCACCTTTGTGGAGCGCAATTATACGGTGAGGGAGCGTGAGTGGGCCGAAAAGAGCGCGGATGTGCGCGCGGCCTATGCCAGCCGGTGGTGTGCAAAAGAGGCGGTGTTCAAATGTCTCCAGACACATTCACAAGGCGCCGGGGCAGCCATGAAAGAGATTGAGATCGAGCATAGTGGTAACGGCGCACCGAAAGTCAAGGTATGAGATTTTTGATCAATTGAGATCCATGCATCACTGACAGACAACAGCTCCGGGGTGCTGCACAAACAGCGGCGCGGCAGCGAGGATTGGAAGGAGTACAACTGAGTATCAGCTATGGCGACGACGCGGTGATAGCGGTGGCGCTGGGGCTGATGGCTGGTGCTTCATACTGACTGTGTGTCGCCAGGTTTGAACCAAATGATATCCCATAGACCTCGCGTATCGTACAGAGTATATAGTAGTAAAGGTTGATGAACTTGTGCGTCAAATCTGCCAGGAATTGATTCGAGTAATTGGCTGCTAGTAGTCAGAAATGGATCCAAGTGGCGTCAGTCTAAGTCCGTACTTAGCCAGTTATTGGTACCGCGTACGTAGTACTATTTGGATGGTGGAGAAGTTGTCGTGATGGGCGAATTGACGCTCAGGGCGTCGAAGTGGGGCGACGGTTACAGAGGGCGGTGTGGATACTGCCCGGCCCATTGCTCTGGTTGGGTTAGTGGCCTTTGTGAGCCTGAGGCTGCTCTCCGCCCCTAACTACGAACTGGGATTAGTGTCTATGGTATACCCGTGGAGGGAGAGCGGAGATAGAAACCAAAGGCACAGCTCAAACCCCCCATGGGTTTGAATTGGCATGAGCTGAACATACAATTTCAGGAAAGTGGTATGATTATACGATCGCGGAAACATATTGTTCAACGTTGCAGACTTTCGTATGCTACTACTTACTACTAGTACCGGTCGTATCTTTCGATTTGACGACACTGTTACTGCAGATATATATATATTGTTTAGCGCTACCAAGTTTAAGTAGACGGGATTCACCCCTTCGCAGTGAGAAAATACTGCTGATTTTGGGAGCTATTCTTCAGGATGTAAAGAACTGCACTACGAGTGTCTGTATGCCTCTCACCTAAGTTCTCTTGGTCTAGTCGTATCGTCTGTGAGTATGCACCTGTGGTTGTTTTGTGGGGTGGAACGAGGAGCCAAGGGGGTGGTGTGGGTGGCCAATTTATTCAGGCACCAGCAATTGGTACTCTTTCGGCGTTCCTGTGGCCTTAGACGCGTTCGCTTTCTCCGGTTGGATTTCATCGCCCCTTCTACACACATCGATATTTCCATCACGGGTCCACGAAAACAAACGTTGCGTTTCAATTTGATTTTATATAACGAGAACCTAAATAGACGGAACGGAAGAGACCGAAAAGGTTATACACGACCCCATCGAGCCAAAGCCGCCGCGACACGAACACAGGACCCCATCGCGCCTTTCTGGACCAGTTCCACGTCAGCACGCTTCTGCTCGCCTCAGAAACATATGACCGCGCTTCGTTGCCGCTAGTATCCTACCAAGAGAGTTGAGATCCATCCGTATGGATAACGAAGTGTCCCGATGTAGTTTCCTTGGTCGCTTCGTCAATCTACCACCCCAACGTTAGCACACGCAAAGAAGAAGGCAATGATCATACCCGAGCACAGATGCCTGCCACACTGTCTGCGACTGTTGTTGGGGCCTGCGGACGGCCCATCAGCCGCGCTCCTTGGTCGCCCATATCGGTTTGGACATGTCTAGCATGCTTCGGTTAGCGAATATACGTTACCACGAAATATTCGAACGATGATTACCCTGGATCGATGATGAAGGCCGTGAGCCATTTGTTCTCAAAGTGGAACTTGCGCACCATGTAGTTGGCCGCCAGCTTCGACACTCCGTATGCCGTCAGTGGGGCCCGCGCGTAGTCGTGCATGTTGGTGATGGTGCTGATTGGGGCACCGATCAAGATAAACTTGGCCTGTTGCTTGGACTGCTGCAGCATCAGGCGGGTTGCCTGAAACAGGAGGACCGGAGCATACATGTTGACCATCATGTGCGCCTGGAGATGTTCGAGAGGCATGGTGGACGCGGGCCCAAAGTTCGTCGCCATGGCCGCATTGGCAACTACCACGTCCAAGTGCGTCACCCCGTGTTCCTCCCGCAGGTTTGGACGGCTGTCTGGGCATCGGTTTCCGAGTTGCAGTCCAGTTGCACCACGATCATCCGACTGCCTTCGGCGACGGCTAGTGTCGAGAGCGCCGGCGTAGCGGTGGCGACGTTGCGCACGCAAGCGACCACGGTGCTCCTGGGACGTTGGAGAAAGGCTTGAATCAGACCTCGTCCGATGCCTGCGTGTTATGAGTAAGACCTCGTAGGACCTCTGATTCGATTGACCATACCTCGGCTGGCCCCGGTGACCAAATACACCGTCTCAGGCGGTCCATCCCGGCATGGCGTAGAGAGCCTCTCTTGATCGTGCTGGCTAAGTGATCCGTTCATTATTTTACGGCTTTGAAGAGTACTCAAGAAATGCTAAAGCTACTAAAGGACCCATGATAGTATCCCATTATATATGGCGGTGTGTTGGTCGCTGGCCGAGTTGGGCCGCTGGGTGGCAGGCATTTGATGGTATGCCAACGAATTCGATCCCCGTGCTGGCGACTTCCCCCAAAACGAAAATGAAAAAGGCCTATCTGATGATATTGGCACATCTAGCACGCTAATTCACAACTAAATACCAGAGATCTGCTTATGTCGACTTCGAGTAGCGTATGTGGCATCTACTACCAGTAAGTCACCAAGCAGTGACGGACGTGCGTGGCCACAACGAGTCTATTGCATGTTATTCATGTGGCAAGAAGTGCCACTTGGTAGATCAGATCATTCCGCTCGACTTATCAGTCGCTGACCGTTAGGGTCTTGCATTCGGTTGCGACTCACAAGTGACAAACGTTTCGGTCAGCCCGAATTTACTAGCTACAACCATAGATATCCGCGTACTACGGGCTAGTATCTCCCGTAGCTCTGCATGGTCAAGACCATCACCATCAGTACCGCATCATGCCACACACTCCCAGCATTCCCATCACCGAGCCTGCCAGTGGAAAGAGGGCTCGCACAGTGTTGAGCCAATCCCACTTTTTTACCAATCTCACGCTCTCCAGCAAGCTAATCTCCACACCCCCTTTCTCGAACTGATCCTCAGCGTGGAAGAGGGCTGTGTTCGTAGCGTTCATGAACATCCACGTGTAGGGCACCATGCTCACCGTCGTGACGGCGGCGACCATCCAGTGATGCCAAGGTTCACCGACAGAGTGCTTGGCCCACGCCGCATATCCGTACAGGGCCCCCGTCACAAAAGCGATTCCGGGGCCTTTACGATGGCCGCTGTAGAAAATACGGCTCCATTGGTGCACCAGCTGGGCCGGCTGCTGGGTGGTCTCGATAAGAATGGGAATGGTGAGCAGGTGGAGGTTCATCATGGCTCCTGCATCTGATTAGCTGCTTCCCAAACCTTCAATGGATGTAGACAGGGGGAGATACCCGTCAAAAAGGACCCCGTGAGGACGGCGACATATTCGGTGCCCATATTGTTTGTTCTGGGAAATATGCGGGTGAAAGAGGCGTGGACAGCTGACTCTCCATCTGCAGGGAGGAGCACATTCTTTATTTCTTCTTTTGCCCTCGTGTTTGTCTGAGATCGGCCAAGATCCTCTCAATCGTTCTGTGTCGGGTACGCGAGGGAGATTGGGGGTGGCAAAGCCCGTGTCGGAAAGCGAGCGACACACGCAGATGCATCGGGGAAAGGCAACAGAGATCCGTATGCTGTCATGGAGATCATACAGGCTCTCCTTGCCTGGTGGATGTGTTGAAGCGCCCAGCTGGGGACGGCTGAAGAAAAGTCTAATGCAATCACATCGGAAGTGATTATAAGAGGTTTTCGTACACTCGAAATGGCTGAAGGCTCCTCTTGCTGACCCGAGAAACGGGGTACTAGACGTGCAGCCCTCAACTGAGTTTCTTAGATGGCCACATGCTTCAATAAGACATACAACATGGGATCATTTTCGGGAAGTAAGACTGGTCCACGGCTGTATGGCCTCTTGGTAATCTGGATGGCAGGGCTGACGGCTCCGATACGACTCAGCTCATCGGTCAACGACGAAATATCTCCTAGTGTAGTTTCAACTACTGATATAGCATCCTATAGCTCTTCGGGATGGACCTGCTTCCATCGAGTTTCAACAATCTCATACCCTATTCCACAATGGCTCAATCAAGGCAACTCTTTCTCTTCGGCGATCAGACGGCGGATTTTGTTCCCAAGCTCCGCAGTCTACTGTCCGTCCAGGACAGCCCTATCCTAGCCGCCTTTCTGGACCAGTCCCACTATGTTCTGCGAGCCCAGATGGTGCAGAGCATGAACATGGTTGATCACAAATTGGCTCGAACCGCTGACCTGCGCCAAATGGTGCAGAAGTATGTCGACGGCAAACTGACCCCGGCATTTCGAACCGCTCTAGTGTGCCTCTGCCAGTTGGGATGCTTCATCCGGTACGCTCTCTCTTTTTGTCCTACCCCAGATCGATTCCGCCACTTTCTTCTAAAGGTGCTACTAGGGAATATGAGGAATCTGGCAACAGGTACCCGCAGCCCAGTGATAGCTACGTGCTGGGGTTCTGCATGGGTTCCTTGGCCGCTGTGGCGGTAAGCTGCAGTCGTTCCCTGTCAGAGTTGCTGCCTATCGCTGTACAAACTGTGTTGATTGCCTTCCGCCTCGGTCTTTGCGCCCTAGAGATGCGGGATCGGGTGGACGGGTGTAGCGATGACCGAGGTGACCCTTGGTCTACCATTGTTTGGGGTCTGGATCCCCAGCAAGCTCGTGATCAAATTGAAGTGTTTTGTCAGTCCACTGTGAGTGCTTGTATATCTTTCGGTATCCAGTAAAAGATACGTAATACTAATGATGCAATAAAATAGAACGTACCTCAGACAAGACGCCCGTGGATCAGCTGCATCTCTAAGAATGCTATGACTCTAAGTGGCAGTCCATCCACATTGAGGGCGTTCTGTGCGATGCCTGAGATGGCTCAGCACCGGACTACTCCAATTCCCATCTGTTTACCGGCCCACAACGGCGCCCTCTTCACACAGGCAGATATCACTGCCATACTAGACACGACGCCTACGACTCCCTGGGAGCAACTGCCTGGCCAAATACCTTATATTTCCCATGTGACGGGTAATGTAGTCCAGTCTACCAACTACCGGGACCTTATGGTGGTGGCTTTGTCTGAGACTCTCCTGGAGCAAGTGCGACTCGACCTGGTTGAGACAGGACTGCCACGCCTTTTGCAATCTCGCCGGGTTAAGAGCGTCATCCTGGTACCTTTCTTGACTCGCATGAATGAGACCTTGAGCAACATTCTTCGAGACAGCTTTATCACTACTGAGACGAGAACTGACACCGGACGAGCCATCCCCGCTTCAGGTCGACCAGGTGGAAGCAAGTGCAAGCTGGCCATTGTGTCCATGTCGGGGAGGTTTCCTGAATCACCGACCACCGAAAGCTTTTGGGATATTCTTTACAAAGGCCTGGATGTTTGTAAAGAGGTTCCCCGTCGACGGTGGGACATCAACACGCATGTTGATCCTAGCGGGAAAGCACGAAACAAAGGGGCTACCAAATGGGGCTGCTGGCTGGATTTCTCAGGCGATTTTGATCCCCGATTCTTTGGGATCTCGCCCAAAGAGGCGCCGCAGATGGATCCAGCTCAGCGCATGGCCTTGATGTCTACTTACGAGGCAATGGAGAGGGCTGGCTTGGTCCCCGACACCACGCCGTCGACCCAGCGAGACCGCATAGGGGTCTTCCACGGAGTCACCAGTAACGACTGGATGGAGACCAATACGGCCCAGAATATTGACACGTACTTCATCACCGGTGGAAATCGCGGCTTCATTCCTGGACGCATTAATTTCTGTTTCGAATTTGCTGGACCCAGCTATACCAATGACACAGCCTGTTCCTCCAGTCTAGCTGCCATCCACCTGGCCTGCAACTCTCTCTGGCGGGGCGACTGTGACACAGCGGTGGCAGGAGGAACTAACATGATCTATACTCCTGATGGCCACACAGGATTGGACAAAGGGTTCTTTCTTTCCCGGACTGGCAATTGCAAACCGTATGATGACAATGCCGATGGTTACTGCCGAGCTGAGGGAGTCGGGACGGTGTTCATCAAACGGCTGGAAGATGCCTTGGAAGATAATGATCCCATTCTCGGCGTTATTCTCGATGCCAAAACTAACCACTCAGCCATGTCGGAGTCGATGACTCGGCCGCACGTGGGCGCCCAGATCGATAACATGACGGCGGTGCTGAATACCACTGGACTCCACCCCAATGATTTTAGCTACATTGAGATGCATGGCACCGGCACTCAGGTAGGGGATGCGGTGGAGATGGAGTCCGTCCTATCGGTGTTTGCGCCGTCCGAAACCGCCAGAAAGGCGGATCAGCCACTATTTGTCGGCTCAGCCAAGGCCAACGTTGGACATGGAGAGGGAGTGTCTGGGGTTACGAGCCTTATTAAGGTTCTGATGATGATGCAGCACGATACCATACCCCCGCATTGCGGCATCAAACCGGGGAGCAAAATCAACCGCAATTTCCCTGATCTCGGGGCTCGCAACGTGCACATTGCTTTTGAACCTAAGCCCTGGCCACGCACACACACCCCCCGCAGGGTGCTTATCAACAACTTCAGTGCCGCAGGAGGGAATACTGCCTTGGTAGTGGAGGACGCCCCGGAGCGTCACTGGCCGACAGAGAAGGATCCGCGCTCTAGTCATATCGTCGCCCTGTCTGCGCATGTGGGGGCTTCCATGAAAACCAACCTGGAACGACTGCATCAGTATCTCCTGAAAAACTCCCACATTGATCTCGCGCAGCTCTCATATACCACTACTGCACGTCGATGGCATTATCTACACCGAGTGAGCATCACTGGCGCATCTGTGGAAGAGATGACTCGCAAGCTAGAGATGGCCATACAGAATGGGGATGGAGTCAGTCGACCAAAAAGCAAGCCGAAAATTCTCTTTGCTTTCACGGGACAAGGGTCCCAATATGCAACAATGGGTAAGCAGCTGTACGATGCGTATCCAGCATTCAGAGAGGACCTGGAGAAGTTTGATCGGTTGGCGCAAAGTCATGGCTTCCCTAGCTTTCTTCACGTCTGTACTTCGCCTACCGGGGACGTGGAAGAAATGGCTCCCGTTGTGGTGCAACTGGCTATCGCTTGCCTTCAATTGGCCCTGACGAATCTCATAACTTCCTTCGGGATCCATGCTGATGCGACAGTGGGGCATAGTTTGGGGGAATTTGCAAGCCTGTACGCGGCGGGAGTTCTTTCCGCCTCAGACGTGGTTTACCTTGTTGGTAAAAGAGCAGAGCTTCTCCAGGAGCGGTGCCAACGCGGTACCCATGCTATGCTAGCAGTGAAGGCTACTCCTGAAGCGTTGTCTCAATGGACCCGAAATCATGACTGCGAGGTGGCCTGTATTAATGGCCCTGAAGATACCGTCCTCAGTGGTACCATCAAGAATATTGGTGAGATTCAACGCGCCGTGACGGACAACAGGATCAAATGCACGCTGTTGAAACTCCCGTTTGCCTTCCATTCTACCCAGGTACAACCTATTCTGGACGACTTTGAGGCCCTGGCTCAGGGAGCAACATTTGCTAAGCCCCGACTACCAATTCTCTCTCCCTTGCTGCGGACAGAAATCCGCGAACAAGGCGTCGTGACTCCATCATATGTCGCCCAACATTGTCGTCACACCGTCGATATGGCCCAAGCTTTGAGATCTGCTCGAGAAAAGGGACTCATCGACAATAAAACCCTCGTCATTGAGCTGGGGCCGAAGCCATTAATCTCGGGCATGGTGAAAATGACGCTGGGAGAGCAAATAACCACCTTACCCACTCTAGCACCTAACAAGGCCATTTGGCCCAACCTGCAGAAGATTCTCACCTCGGTGTACACGGGTGGATGGGATATTAATTGGAAGAAATATCACGCGCCTTTCGCCTCCTCCCAGAAACTGGTGGATCTGCCGAGCTACGGCTGGGATTTGAAGGATTACTACATCCCGTATCAGGGTGACTGGTGTCTGCATCGCCACCAGCAGGATTGCAAGTGCGCCACTCCTGGTCACGAAATTAAAACGGCCGACTATCAAGTCCCTCCTGAGTCGAAGCCTGACCGTCCATCCAAGCTGGACCCTAGCAAACAGGCCTTTCCCGAAATACAGACCACCACGACACTCCATCGAGTGGTGGAGGAGACGACTAAACCTTTGGGGGCTACCTTAGTAGTGGAGACAGACCTATCTCGGAAGGATGTTAACGGCCTCGCTCAAGGGCACCTTGTTGATGGGATCCCTTTGTGTACCCCTTCCTTTTATGCTGACATCGCCATGCAAGTGGGCCAATACAGTATGCAACGGCTCCGTGCGGGACATCCGGGGGCCGGTGCCATAGATGGCCTTGTGGACGTGTCAGACATGGTGGTAGACAAAGCGTTGATCCCTCATGGGAAAGGACCTCAATTGCTGCGCACGACGCTTACCATGGAGTGGCCGCCCAAGGCTGCTGCTACTACGCGAAGCGCCAAAGTCAAATTCGCCACCTATTTTGTACGTTGTCTCCAGGCTTCTTATAAGGGTAATGTAATACTAATTTATCTAGGCCGATGGGAAGCTCGATACGGAGCATGCGAGCTGTACCGTCCGATTCACAACCGATGCACAATTGAAATCTCTGCGCCGGTCTGTGTCTGAGTACAAGACCCACATCCGCCAGTTACGTGATGGCCATGCCAAGGGGCAGTTCATGCGATACAATCGGAAGACCGGGTATAAGCTCATGAGCAGCATGGCTCGGTTTAATGCCGACTACATGCTCTTGGATCATCTGGTGCTGAACGAGGCAGAGAACGAGGCAGCAAGTTGTGTAGACTTCTCCTTGGGATCGTCGGAAGGCATCTTTGCAGCTCACCCAGCTCACGTCGATGCCATCACCCAGGTGGCCGGTTTTGCTATGAATGCCAACGACAATGTTGACATCGAGAAACAGGTCTACGTCAATCACGGGTGGGACTCGTTCCAGATCTACCAACCACTCCATAATAGCAAGTCTTACGATGTATACACCAAGATGGGCCAAGCGAAGGAGAATGATCTGGTGCATGGCGATGTGGTGGTTCTGGACGGAGACCAAGTCGTTGCTTTCTTTCGCGGCCTTTCGGTAAGCCTTCGAATGAGAATAGACCCGATGAAGAGACTCGTACACTGACTGATGTTTAGCTGCGATGCGTCCCCCGTGGGGCACTGCGTGTTATCCTGCAGTCTACAGTGAAAAAAGCCGATCGCCAACTAGGGTTAAAGACAACGCCGCCGCCGACGATGCCAATATCGCCTTCCAAACCAGCTCCTACTCATGTTTCCGGCCAATCTGTTCCACCAGAGGCCAGTCATCCCCACACCCCGCCACAGCCAAAGCATTCCCCGGCACCGGAAACTACTGGAAGCGCTCCAGCGGCAAAAGGCGTAGATGTCAGTATTGAAAAGCTAGATGCTATAATGCGAGTTGTTTCGGAGGAGAGTGGAATTGCCCTCGAGGAGCTCACTGATGACAGCAACTTTGCTGACATGGGCATCGATTCTTTGAGTTCAATGGTCATTGGGAGCCGCTTCAGAGAGGACCTGGGGCTGGACCTGGGTCCTGAGTTTTCTCTTTTCATTGATTGCACTACCGTGCGTGCCTTGAAAGACTTCATGTTGGGAAGCGGGAATGCTGGCAGTGGCTCCAATGTAGAAGACTCTCCGTCAGCTACTCCCGGCACCAACCACGAAACGGATTGGTCTAGCAGTGCATCCGACACTATTTCCTCCAGCGAAGATCACGGTCATTCGAGTGAGTCCGGTGCCGACACTGGAAGTCCGCCTTCACTTGATCTGAAGCCCTACTGCCGCCCCTCAACTTCTGTCGTCCTACAAGGTCTACCCATGGTGGCGCGGAAAACTCTGTTTATGCTCCCTGATGGGGGAGGATCGGCTTTTTCTTACGCCTCCTTGCCGCGCCTCAAATCAGATACCGCTGTAGTGGGCCTGAATTGCCCTTATGCCCGGGACCCCGAGAACATGAACTGCACACATGGAGCTATGATTGAGAGCTTTTGCAATGAGATCCGGCGGCGGCAGCCGCAGGGTCCTTATCACTTGGGCGGCTGGTCATCCGGTGGTGCATTTGCTTACGTCGTGGCCGAGGCACTTGTTAACCAGGGGGAGGAGGTCCATTCTTTAATCATTATTGATGCGCCTATTCCCCAAGCCATGGAACAACTCCCCCGAGCCTTTTACGAGCACTGCAACAGCATTGGATTGTTCGCTACACAGCCCGGGGCTAGTCCGGACGGCTCGACTGAGCCTCCGCCCTACTTAATCCCCCACTTTACTGCTGTGGTGGATGTGATGCTGGATTATAAGTTGGCCCCGTTGCGTGCGCGCCGGATGCCCAAAGTCGGCATCGTCTGGGCGGCAGATACAGTCATGGACGAGCGGGATACTCCCAAGATGAAAGGAATGCATTTCATGATTCAAAAGCGGACTGAATTTGGCCCCGATGGGTGGGACACGGTCATGCCCGGGGCCTCGTTTGATATTGTCCGAGCGGACGGTGCTAATCATTTTACGTTGATGGTAGGTTGTGCTTCGACTACGATTGAACGGACCTGAATGCTAACACCTCAATAGCAGAAGGAACATGTCTATAAAATTAGCGATCTGATCGACCGAGTCATGGCCTAGCAAGCTCCGCTTCGGTGGGTGACGCGCATAGTTACAACTATGATGGGTGCTGGAGGAGGGAGGAAGCAGGGCCGTGTTTTTCATTTGCTCCCGCGTTTAGAAAAGACGAGATTGTGGTTTACAAACTTTTTTCAAAGGGCTCATTGTGTATATTGATTCGAACTACATATATAGGTACTTTTACGATGATATCATATACACCTTTTCACACAATTCGTATCCCATTCATCCTTAGTCTTGGAAGCTATGATGGCCAAAGTGTATCTCTTGTTGATCACAATCGGAAGTGGTAGGCGTAACTAGTGTCAATGACGAGCTGAATCTATATGGACGTAGGGAGGTTTTCTTTCCCTTGAGCAAGCGGTCCCGAATGGAGATACACTGATCGGACGGATACGTTCCACGCTCCAAGCCTCCAAGTGTCTAAGTTCTCTGGCATGCAAGGGCGCCCGGTGGGTACTAACCATGGGACAAGCGCTGGTTTGCTTGTTAAAATGTAGGACTGGAACCTCCAGTCCCGTTTCGCTTGAAGCAGGATGCCTCAGAGCCTCTTGTTGTGCTAACGTGTGTTGGGGATCTCCGTGTCAGCGCTACATTATTTCATTTCTTTTTTGAAGAGTGCCAATTAACGGCAACAACATTCAGATCACAACCGCCTGGTATTCCGTTCAACCTACTGTTCGGCGCGTTGGTCGCAGACATTGGAGTTCGGGGATCGTTTCGGACAGCGAAAGCGGGTTTCGGACAGCGTAGAACATAGCCACAAAACATTGTTCGGAAATTATAGCTCCGGATGACATTGCTGGTCCCAGAGAAGACTAGACCAGAAACGAGAAAGAAAGTGATGGGAAACCAAAGCGCAGGCATTCAATGTGTAGAGAGGTTGAGGGGAGGTTTCACGAAGTACTCATAGAAAACGCACGGCTGAGGTGCTGTTGTTATGCGGATATGCCCATGAACAACCGTTTGCTGTAGAAGTGGGCTTTTGCACCGCCAATGTGAGGGACTGACTATCGTTCAATCTAATCTGCCTGGCCGCATGATCCACCAGTTCTCGTGTCCAAATTAGAATTTGTAGTAAGTTCTGAATCGGAAGGTCTGTATTTTCATAATGATGTTGTGCTGTATTTATGTTTGAAATGCCTTGCTCTGTTTGTATGAAGGCATGTAGTGCCGGTGTCGATAGTTCGATCGCAAGATAACACATCGCGATACGAGATTTCATCGAGCATCTTCGTAGGGGCTCTGCGCCCAATGAAATAACCCGAAGTTGATTAAATTGAAATTATTGAGGGATTACTAGTAGTCCAAACATGCCAATGGAGGCATATCCTCCCATATGTATCGTTGTAAGTAGCGCTACGAATATATTACATGAGCGTCGCATAGAGTCATGACCCAAAGTGCGAGTACAACATACGCTGGTAGATGACGTTTATTATACAATTGTGGAGATTAAAAGAAGGGACCCGCGGTTGAACGAGGTAACGCCGAAGCCGTTTGACAAGAATTAAAAAGAAATAAACATCGCTCCTTTTCCTGGCCGGTTCGGGGTCCTCGCGCTCCCTTACAGGAAGGGAGATGAGAACGGGTCTCCGATGATCTGGAACGTGAACTTATGTGCACAAATGTTGAATAATGCGGGAACCATAACGAAAGAAAGAAGAAGAAGAAGAAGAAGAAGAAGAAGAAGAAGAAGAAGAAGAAAGAAACCCTAAAAGCAGAACCCTAGATACGGGTCATAAAGTTAGCCAGGTGCTATCGAACGTTACCTCTTCTGCTTGACATTTCTCCATTCGATCCCTACGGCGCCGGAAATGCTGAGACAGCTGCAGATAAGGGCTACTTGAAAGACGTCCACCAGTGCGGCGTTATAGGCCACCAGCACCTGGTCCATGTACTCGGGCTGGACCAGATGGCGAAACCCGGTGGCACCGGCACCCGCGACTGCCTCTGGGTCGAGACCTGGCAGTTGCAAGTTCGCGAGGTTGTCCGCTAGGTGGGTGCTGAAGATATTTTGCGCTACCGAGGTGAAGAGGGCACCGCCCAACATCTGCACAAACCAGATTAGTGCGGTTCCGATGGGGACTTGAGCCATGGGAAGGACGGCCTGAACGGCCACAGCCCCCTGCTGGAAGCCGAAGCCGACCCCTATGCCGTAGAGGAAGAGAAAGCCGATCCATTTGGATTGGGCAATATCCACGGTGAAGAGGGTAAGGCAGCCGGCACCAATCGACATGATCACACTACTGACGATGAACCAGGGGGCGTAGTGGCCTGTCTTGTTCGTCACAGCGCCAGAGATGATGGCGCCGGCGGTATTGGCCAGAATCAAGGCAATGGAATCAATGCCGGCCTGCACGGGCGATTGGTTGCGAATGGCTTGGAACTATTGGACATGCATTAGCACCATCGTCGCGCGCGGTGGGGCACATGGCACGGGGAGTAGACTAGGGAGAGGCAGGTTACCCAGATCGGCACATAGTAGATCATAACAAACATGGAGGCGCCGATGAAGAAGACGAAAACGGAGGCGCACGCTACGGATCGCTGGGAGGCTACTTGGATCGGCACTGGCGGTGGTGAGCGAGGCTTACAGGACGGGTAGAAACCAAGGGAGGATGACATACCGGTGGCGTTATCCTTCATGAGGACCTGAATGATGATAAACGTAATTAGGAGCACACCGAAGAAAACAAACAGCGCGATAATGCGTCCATTCGACCAAGCGTAGTCTACCCCACCCCACTGGAGCGCAAGGAGAACGCAGATGATGGCAGGGGTGAAGACGATCGTGCCTAACGGATCTAAGCCTTTCACCATCTCCCAGGCACCATGCGTGCGTAAGTCCGCCGATTTGGGGACCCGAAGCAGAAACAAGATAACCACAGCGGTAACCCCTCCGATTGGAAGATTGATGTAGAAGCACCATCGCCAGGTCACTTCGTTAGTGAAGGCGCCCCCCAACTGCAATTCACAAGGATCGGTTAATGGTGCCCGTCACTGTTGCCGGATGCATCAACGGTGACTTACCAGCGGGCCTGCCACCGACGCAATTCCGTACATCCCTCCCAAGATCCCCATATAAACCGGTCGCTTGGCCAAGGGTACAATATGCGCGATGGTGACCAGAGCACCTGTGAAGATCCCCGAGCTCCCCACTCCCGCGATAGCACGGCCAACGATGAGCACCACGGACGACGGTGCGACCCCGCAGATCAGAGAGCCCACCTCGAATATAAACAGGGCGACAAGAAAGACCCATTTGGTGCTGAAGAGGGCATAAAACTTGCCATATAGCAATTGGAAGGCTATCCTCCCCGGGGTGTCAGCGGAAGGGCAATTCGAGGTTGGGTAAAAGAATCGTCTCACGCGGACTTACCACACGTAGTAAGTAGATAAGCGGACGCATACCATCCAATATCATTCAACCGGTGGAATTCATCCGTGATTCGAGGGATGGCAACGGATAGGATCTGCACCACAATGGTCATCAGCTCAATAGCCGCCATGCCGGGGCGGACAAAGAAGAGCGCGCGGGGAACGAACGGTATTGTCAAGAGCCACGCAGAACACGGCGAGCAATAGGCTTAGCACAATGAGATACAGCTTCACGCCGGAGATGTGACTACTCGCCTCGGGAGCCTCGTCGATTAGGATGTCACGGTCGTTAGATGTCCGTGCCTCCCCATCGCCCGTGGGAATGCGCTCGGGGTCGAGCGCCGTCTCCTTATTGCCGTGCATACTTGGACTGGCTGGACGACGGTGCCGGATGGAGAGAAGAGCCTGGCGTTGTTGTTTTGAGACAGGGGGTCAAGGATATACGGGAGGCACAGGAGAACATAACAACACAACGATGATGAGGAGTGAGATGGAAAGGAGACAGAAAGACAGAAAGACAGAAAGACAGAAAGACAGAAAGACAGAAAGACAGAAAGACAGAAAGACAGAAAGAAAGGAAGAAAGAAGAAAGAACAAAGCAAACAAACCAGACTGTTTGTGTGGATTGTTCTTTGTTGCATTCCTTGCTTTTCGGGCGCCAATCGACCACATCCCTGCAGCAAGGCCACGTGAGGCTATGGTCCCATTCGATCTCTTTGTCTCATTGTTGGCATCGTGCCACGATTCTGATCTGGCGCCCGACTTCCTGCAGATCTCGCCGGGAAGGGAGTTGGCAGATGGATTGCATGCCACGCGCCTCGTATTCCAGAACGATGATTACACTGGCGAATACCATACGCACACGGCAACGGCAGATCTACAACCGTCCCCAGTAGATCGGCCAAGAAGACAATCGCAGGGCATCTACATTCTTCGAACTACCGTGTCTAATTAGGGTGACATTTCTGAGGTGCTCTGGGTACCTCTGGGTCACTCGATCCGCATCTACTCGTCTGTGCCCTCCCGCTTAATCCGCCAATCCAGTCACCTTGGCCTGGACAGTGAAGGGTCCCTTTTCCGGTGCAGCGAAGCCGAGATCGCGCTTCATCTGCAACTGCTCGACTGTCGTCTGGTAGGGGACCAGGTCGAAGCGTCTCGCGACGGTGGCGATGGCTAGATAGATTTCTGCTAGAGCGAAGCTAACCAGTCATGTCCCAATATTAGAAGACCCTCTTCATGAACCATCCCCACCCACAGGAGCGACTTACTTGATGCCGAGGCAATGTCGACTGCCTTTGCTAAAGACAATCATATACCGATGCAAGTTGTGCCCCTCGCAGGCGGCCTGCACCCAGCGATCCGGGTTGAAATCCTCGGGATGCGGGAAGATCGAGGGGTCCATGCATACGAAATAGGCGCTTTGACTGATCGGAGTCTAAGGACGAATAGAGAAGTCAGCCAGTGTTGTTCTTGAATTCTCTGGGGACGCAAAGAAAGCGGGAAGACTGACGCCGGGGGGGATAACAAGGTCTTCGTACACCAGAGGATCGTTGGGGTAAACGCGTGCAGATCGAATGATGAAGCCAAAGGAGAGCCGAAGGCTTTCATTGACAACGCCGGCCTATGAACCGCAGGTGTCAGGATGTGCATCGGACAAGGGGGGAACCAACGAGAACAAACCAAGAATGGCAACTGTTCCAATTGTGTCCAGGAAGCCGTGCTGTCAGGAAACGGCATCACAGTCCGAAGCTCGTCGCGCAGTTGGAGCAGCAGGGACGGCTTATTTGCCAAGTGGAACACCCCCACCGCCAGGGCCCGTGCCGTTGTCTCCGTGCCCCCGGCAATGATGTTCAATGTCTCCATTTGCAGTCGCGTGGCCGTTTTCTCCTGCTCCGGTACGTCGGCGGTGGCCATCGCCTGAAGCAACGTCTTCCGATCTCCCATCGTGCCGTTGTTCTTCGAGCCCAGGATCTCGCCTACCCGCCGTTCAGACAAAGTCCACAAGTGGAGGAATTCGCCAGCGGGGACCAGACAGGCGGGAAGATACCGGGCCAGCTTCAACAGACGCCCGAAAACGAGCAATACGGGGATCCAGCGACCCACGCTGTCCATGCCCGCAAGAAAGTCGTTTTTGAAGTCCGGCTCCGTGAGATGGCTCAAGTTTGTTCCGTATACATAATGCGTCGTGAGGTCGGAGGTCAACGCTGCAAACACATATTTGAGATCTAAGACGGTGTCGTGGCGATATGCTCCGTGAGTCGGGAGGCCAGGAGGTTCACTTTGCTTTGAATGACATGCTCAAGGCCCATGACGTATTGCTTCGAAAAGAAGGACTTGATGATTCCTCGTCGCAGCCGATGGTGATGGTGCTTGATGGTGGTGACCGTAACCTCTGGGAAAAGAGGGACTGCTGGGAATCCGGGATCTTTGTCCTGCTTTTTAGCCCCGCCAGCATAAATCTGATGGTAATAGTGCGAGTCTTGGATATGCACTTCGTTGGGATTGAATCGAATAACGGGTCCTAGGGGAAAGAGGTGGCTAGTTAGTTGTAAGAGTTGGTGAGCGCCAAGGGCCAACCCACCGTACTTGCGATGCAACTCGTCCAGCTTCCAGATGTACTTCCCGCCCTGCACAGCATCATAGTAATGTTGATACAGGTGCGTGATAGCGGCTATTTTCGGCCCCGGAATCTTTCTGAGAGGGTGAAAAAAGACACGATAAACGCTTCGCAGAATCAAGGCTACTAACAAGCCGATGAGCGCGGTGGAGACGGTTTTGGATACCATGGTATGTAATGTTGGTCAAAAAAGACCGTTTGATTCGTGCAGGACACATGTATCCACTCCTCCTTATAAGGGCCCTGTACCATTGCACTCCGCGTACCCCATGTTTGGGGCGGGGTTATTGAAACTGACCAGCCCTTGTCACTTCCCTGGAGCGATCCCGACCCTTCGGTGGCCGAAGGTGCTAGAGGGTCACTGACTTTGATCAAGTACAGATTGGCAGCGAAGCAAAAGGTACATCGATCTGATCCCCAAAGCCACCCCAAAGCCACCCAAGAATCCACACAATGTCCACCTCAGCTCCCCTCCTCAGTCGCTACCGACAGCTCTCCCCAACCGCGTCAATTCGCGTCTCTCCGCTCTGCCTCGGGGCTATGACCTTTGGTGTGTCAGACGGAGAGATGTTTGGCGAATGCAGCAAGGAGACGGCCTTTGCTATCCTAGATCACTTCTACCACCAAGGCGGCAATTTCATCGACACGGCAAATGGATATCGGGCTGGGGAATCAGAGATGTGGCTAGGCGAATGGTTGGCGTCCCGCAAGAACCGTGATGACATTGTCCTAGCCACCAAATATGCGGCAGGTTATCGGGGCCACGAAAAACACCGCATTCAGGTGAACTACGGAGGAACGGGGACGAAGTCAATGCGTCTTTCGGTGGACGCGTCTCTGCAAAAGCTTCAGACGAGCTATATTGATCTCCTCTACGTGCATTTGTGGGACTACACGGTTTCGATCCCAGAATTGATGCACGCCCTGAACGACCTGGTCGCATCGGGGAAAGTCCACTATCTCGGGATTAGTGATACCCCTGCTTGGGTGGTGTCCAAGGCAAATCAATACGCCCGGGACCACGGATTACGACAGTTTGTTGTCTACCAGGGGTTGTGGAACGCGGCGAATCGTGATTTCGAACGGGATATTCTCCCCATGTGTCGCGACGAGGGAATGGGCCTTTGCCCTTATGGAGTTCTCAACCAAGGTCGATTCCGGACTGAAGAAGAATTCCGGGAGCGTGACCAGACGAACAATGCCGGGGGACGAAATATGGTCCCACTGTCAGAACACGATCGTAATGTCTCCAGGGTGTTGGAGATAGTTGCCGCCTCTAAGGGTGTGCCGCTCTTGCAAGTGGCGCTGGCGTATGTGGTGCGGAAAGCCCCATATGTGTTCCCCATTGTTGGAGTCCGCAAGGTCGAGCATCTCATGGGCGTGGAGCCCGCCGTTCACATTTCACTGACGGATGCAGAGGTGAACGCAATCGAGAATGCATATGAATTCGATCCTGGATTTCCACATACCTTTCTCAGTGGTTCGATGTTTGCTCGGGGGACGCCGAAGGGTGGGTATGCTCCTGATGATGTTTGTTGGACCAAGATGCTGGGCACTTTTGACTGGGTTGAGGGAGCGAAGCCCATTCGTCCTCAACCATAACCTGTTGCGATACCCACGATCCAGGAGATGTTTAAATGAAGAATCGATTCTTTCTTGAACAATATGAATTGCTTGCCCTGTCACTCACAACACGATTGATATCCCGGTATGAGTTGGCAGTCGTTGAGATCATCCGTGTCTTTGTCATAAGAGAGAGAGGGATTCCGAGAGACAAGGCCTATCATGTCCACTATAGCACGAATAGGTCAATTAAACTAGTCACCTCTGCCAAAGGGATTCTGTTTCATGTATTACCATCGTAAATGTCCACCTCGACGTAACACGAGTTGGTTCTTTAGGTATTCCGCACCTAGGCCTTATCAGCGAGTGAGTATCAGGGTATCTGTCCCTTGAAGGGTCGATTGGTCATGGGCAATGCCTTAATCCTGCTCTGCCTGGTTTAGCCACTCAACTAGTCTGGCACCACTCGAGATGGAGCTGTGCAGACTATTTAGGCTGTTTTGAACCCGCGGAGCGCCAAGAATGTGGAGTTCTCCGGTTATTGTTTTAATGTTTCCATTCAATACATCCGCTGTACCCACGAGTTAAGGGTCTCGAAACGCTGAGTATTTTGCCTTGTGTGATCTTCAAAATTTATTACTGATTCTACTCAATCCATATAGGTGTTCGTGGGAGGTATTCTGTATAGGGGGTTCGGTACTGCCGGATCTACCCGCCGGACGTAATGACTACTACTGCTGCTGCATAGGGGGGATAAACATTGTCACCTTGATGGCCTGGATCTTTAGCCTAATAAGGATAAATGGTGACTGTGGAGTATAAGGAGGGGATTGAAGTGTTGGTTAGGACAACGGCTTGCAGGTCTTATCCCGAATGGAAACAGTCATTTGATGCTATACTCAGATTCCACGGAGCACATTTGACTTCAACGCTTTATAGCCATTTCATCTGCATCCCTTTGGATACATCAACATGTCAGGGCGCAGGGGAAACGTTCTAATGTCACCTGGCGGTGTTTTTGCGAGTTATTTCCTGCTGCTTCTTGGAAGACTCTTTACCTGCGCGGGCTTTGCTAGAGCGGACAATCCAATCGTCCAGAACATCTATACAACAGATCCGGCACCGATTGTTCACGAAGGTCGCGTCTTTGCTTTTACCGGACATGATGAGGATAACTCAACGTGGTATACTATGCTCGATTGGCGTCTGTTCTCGTCAGCAGATATGGTTAATTGGCAGCACCATGCTCGCCGATGAGCCTAAACACATTTGCCTGGGCAGATGCAGACGCATGGGCCGGACAGGTAATTGCTCGGAATGACAAGTTTTACTTTTATGCACCGGTTCGCCATGGTGCAACTGCCACCAAAGCCATCGGGGTTGGCGTCAGTGATAATATCACTGGCCCGTACACCGATGCATTGGGACACCCTCTGGTCGAAAATGGAGCGATCGACCCTACAGTATATATTGACGATGATGGTCAGGCCTATTTGTACTGGGGAAACCCTGGTCTGTGGTATGTCAAGTTGAACGAGGATATGATCTCCTATAGTGGAAGTGTCACTCCAGTCGACCTCACGGTTGAAGGATTCGGCAGCCCAAATGAGGGTTCCGACGAGGAGACTTCATTTGACGAGGCGCCCTGGATTTATAAACGCGACGACATTTACTATATGATCTTTGCTGGCAACTGTTGTCCCGAGAATATTCGATACTCGACTGGCACTAGCATCACTGGACCCTGGACATATCAAGGCGTCATCATGCCGACACAGGGTGCTAGTTTCACAAATCACCCTGGAATTGTCGATTTTGCTGACAGATCATATTTCTTCTATCACAATGGGGCCCTTCCCGGTGGCTCCGGCTATACGAGATCCGTGGCTGTCGAGGAATTCACCTACAATTCAGATGGTACGATACCTGAAATCAACATGACTGAAGATGGCCCGGCACAGGTTGGGAATTTGGACCCATATTCCCGCCAGGAAGCAGAGACAATTGCTTGGTCCGATGGCATTGATGTGGAAAGTTCCAGTGACGGTGGCATCCATGTCGCATATATCAACAATGGCGATTATATCAAAGTCAAAGGTGTTGCATTTGGTGACGGGGCCTCCAGCTTTGCTGCTGGAGTAGCATCAGCAGGCAATGGTGGACATATCGAGCTGCGCTTGGACAGCAAGGATGGCACGGCCATCGGGACCTGTTCTGTTCCCATCACAGGAGGGTGGCAGGCGTGGGAGACTGTGAATTGCTCGATTAGCGATGCTACATCCACTCACGACCTGTTCTTTGTTTTCACTGGCAATAGTACTGAATATTTATTCAATTTCGATTGGTGGCAGTTTAGCTGATGTCCATTTGCTGACATTGGCATGATTCTTTCAGCCACCATAGCAGAACAGCTGCGGCATCGCAAGTTCCTTACCACTTGGGGATATGCAGACCATGAGGGATAAAGGGCAATGGGTTCTGCTTTCTATCGGGATAACCATGTATATAACAAAGGGGTATCCACATATCAACCAAAACCGCAAGGGGGCGCCCAAAAGGGACCCCCATTTGTTTCCAAACCATATAAACCGACTCTCATGGCATTAGAAGGGGCCCGGACGATGATATTGACATCTACAAACTACATCATTGAAGAGGTGAGATTGATTAAGATCGAGTGGTACCGTTTCTCTAGATAACCGATCTCCAGATCGACAAAATCATCGCGAAGCCTGAGCAGGCTGTTGCAGAGCCCCCACACCGCTACCTTGTCAATATCCATTGATTTTCAAACAATACTTGCCGGTAGGCTTATATCCTTTCTGGTGCGTGGACGAAGTACTAATATCAATAGATTGGTGTGCCCGTCGACTGGTCTGAAAGCGAGTGAAAGTGAAATAGATGACAACCGACAGTCGACCCAGCATGTATACAATATCTTTAAATGCAATTCAACCTGGCTCATTGATAGCTACCATGTAGTCCCGAACTTGACTATATGGCATGAGAGTAATCTCAGCCACCAGTCCTGAAGCACAGAGCTTGTGGCACATATCCAAATCCACCAATTTTCCCCCTCTTAAACCACATTTTTGCATCTCGTCCCTTACACGAAATTCCAAATCACCAGCAAGCTTGATGTAATTCTGGGCTACCCCTTGCGGAGGCCTGTCAAGCGACTGGTCGGAGGCATTCAACCCCGTCAGAGTATCGTATGCGGTGATGTGGAATTCAGACCAATATTTGAAAGATTTGCTTTCGGTGTGATAGTTCTTCTCAATATCCCACCAGAGAATATGCAGTTTGGCCTTGATATCGAGGCTTTCAATTTGCTCCGATGAACTAGTGGCAGAAGAGAGGAGCACACCTGCATCGGCCCCTAACTTCAGATTATCCACGTAGTAATCGCCATATATTTTCGAATAGTAGGAAGGATCATGGCGTGACCGTCGGGTATCCGCCAATGCATCCAGCGAGAAGCGAGGCCCACCCACATGGATGGTTCCTGTTCGAATTGTTGCGTGAAGAGAGGCCTTCAAGTTCTGTTCTCCCGTATTAGGATCGGAGTGATTCCAAAGTGAGATAAAATAGCACCATCGTTGTTCGACGCATCCTTATTGTACTTTCGACTGACACTACCATTGGCAAAACTGCACTCAGCACTAGCCTTACCCGAAACACTCAGATGTTCATGCGAACTCTTCGAGTTTGACGTGATAGCTTTATGGAACGTACACTGTGCGCCTGAGTCATTTCGAAAAAAATACCCTCTCATCCAATATCCGTTGTGAGAACGCGTTTGTTGTTCTGAATGGGGCTATCGCATCGTCGCTTTCGAGACTCGAAGAATGACATCCCCCTGTCAAAGTTGCAATTGGCTCATTGTCGGGGCTGTTAGCCCAGGGCAAGGTAATTTCTGCCCCGCCAACAGATGCTAGATTAAGAGAGGGCAGGGTGGGATCTTCGGGGAAGATATCTTCGATATTCTGTCCGTTGATGATCGAAGGCATTGTGTGGTGTTGAAAGAAAACGCACCTTGGACAGCGATGGCTTGAAATGCAGGGCAGATTGGGCTTTATATATTCCGTCTGGTGGTCTGGAGGGGAGTAATTGACCTTAGTGGGTCTTTCTTCGCTGATCGTACAGCTGAAGGTTTGAGCGTTGAGCAATATTACTGGTTAAATTTGACTCGCAGTTTGCAATACAAACTTTCTATAACTTCGTAGTAAGATGTGATCCTTCAGGCTTTTATTTAGAACGATCGTAAATCATAGTGTGTGATCCAAATTATGGTTTTCAACATTGAGATTCTTTCCAATACCATTTTTGATACAGGTGTCACGAAAGTCACACGGGAATTCGAGTGGTCGGCACAAGACCAGCCAGCCTATTCTCCAGAGGATTCGTAAGAGCTGCAGATACCTACTATAGATCCGTAAGTGCCGGCAACCTTGAGAAAGACGACCGAGACTAAACCGAAAACACACCGGCACATCATAAGAATCCGAGTATTTCGCCCCTCGGTCTTGCCTTTGCTCCAATTATCATAAAGCCACATACACCCCATCGACAGCAGCGCCACGCTTGGGCCAAGTAGAGAACCAATGAGCGAAAGAAGACCATAAAAGATTGGCCTAGCACTAGCCACAAGGTAGGCGATAACAGCAATGCCACCAATACTGCCTAGCCAGGCTACGCTGTGTTTCAATGTGTTCTGGCTGGGGTGTTTAGTTCCCCTGAGCCGGCGAATAAAAACATACCTTGCAGGTAACTATAATCCCATGAGCCTAATGACATTAAGAGTTGTACTGGGAGCGCTTGCATGGGCGACTATGGTTGTGGTAACTATCAATCTGAGAAGCGCAAAGCTACAGCAAATCCTTTTGACAATTGGCCCAGCGGAACCAAGGGCAGGTAAGGCAACATGAGATGCGCAAGAATAATAGCCTATACAGCCGATTGTAATGTACATAGATGTCATGCGGTCTTGACAAATAAGCAAGGATCGGGTATAGTGATGGGGATCTTGCATCTTTGGAACAATTGAGAAGAATGCTGAGGTACCCGCACACACGAGTAAGAGTACGGACACAGCAGTGATAGCCACTGTGGAAGATGGGTTTTTGATGAGTTGACAGTCAGAAACCCAGCCAAATATGTGGATTCTATAGAGCAAATATATAGGACCAAGCCAAACATAGAGTTGACCGGGTAGACTGCGGCAATATCCTTAATACCCATGGGCGCGTACTACTTTGATTTATTAGTTTCAGCACATTAGCCAGACTATCTAGATCTCTTGCTATATTAACTGGACAAATTGATGCAAATAAGGGTTATGTAGGTAACTTGAAAAAGCATGAGGAGGTCTAGACAAGCTGGGTAGATATAAGAACCACTTGATAACATGTTGGGTAAACCCCAAATATCTCTAACAATCGTTCTTACGGACAATCACATTCCAGTTGTCTGCATAGAAAGCCTGTCCACCAACATAAGAGCCAAGCTTCCCCTCCTCCCACTGATAGCACCAGTGGATGAGTTTTTCCGCACCGTTAGCAATTTCGGCGAACGAGTCCAGCGTTTTGGACTCAGCGTTCTAAATCTCATTAGCGCTTATCCTCGTCAACAATGTCATGATCAATTCACGTACGTCATTGCACCACCAAATCGCTGCGTTGTAAGAACAACTAACTCGGCCACAATTGCCCGGGCCTGGTCCATTTACAGGCTTGCCGGGGACGCCCTGAAGGTACTCAATGCCTCGGCTAATGGAGGCAGACGATGCGGGAGTGAAGGGGTCGCCGCAGTGGTAGCCTGTAGGATCTGCCCTCTTCATCAGAGATTGCTTTGCTTTCCCTCGGGCTCGGATTTGTGCTTCAGCACTGGAGTTTTGCTTTGAAAGCTCGGCGACAACATCTTCGACGGTGCCTTTGACATTGATGGGATCGTTAGACTCTGGAACTTGAACGCTCCATTCTAGGTCCTCGACGCCATATCCTGGAGGGCCTTGTGCGGAGCTTTCGACTGGACCCTAGCAGCCGGTTAGTTAGATCTTTACGGTTCCATGGAGATGAAGACTTACAGCTGCCACCGAACAGGCAAGGAGTACTGCGATCAATCCGGTGTATTTCATATTGAAAAGAGAATTGGAGTCAAACAATCGCCGTTAGAGCAATAGCTTCTTGATTTCTGCTCAAAGGAAAGGGAATAGAAGATGCGAACTCATTTCCTTTTATCTCTTCCCTGGCCCCCATGCCATAGAACTCTTTCGGGTTTAGACGCTTACAAGCATTAATAACCATTGAGAGTGAGCTATGTCTTTCACCTAGCTGTGCCCCTCTCCACGCATTGGATCGAAACTGATTATTCTATTTCAGGCTCGTTCTACAACTGTGAGTGCACTGTCGGAGTCAATTGGTGGGTTTACCCGAACATTCCCTAGGAATCAGTAAATTGATTAAAGTGGGGTCCGTTTGTTGCTTAGCTGAAGGATGTGCATCGATGCATATACGCACCAAGTAGTGGATATTGAGATCCCAACTCGAGGACTTACCTTCTTGGCATTCTCAGACCCGTTCATATGCAACCGCAGCAAACGTGAAGAATCTCGAGTCTTGTCCTACGAGATGTACTGCTCTCTCGATGTTTTCTAGTTCATTACTGCGAATATATTATTTAAGTATGAAATTGAAATAGGTACTGCCAGGGCGGCCTAGATAACCATGCGTATTAACTGGTCATAGCTCTACTCAACTGTTCCCCACCAAGAGCTGGTTGGTTCGTGGGGCGGATGCTATTAGCTTAGGGGCGGAATCCATATGCAGGGAAGATGCGAGATGTCAATGCAACATAATTGTTACGGCCCCCAACAATGCGTGCATTGGTCCATCGGAGTCAAGAGGTGACCCTACCCTGGCTCAAGAACATGGACGTGCTCCGGCATAGTGCTTAAGCATCCAAATGTCCTTATTGAATTTTAAGAATCGGCGTTCCGCTGTATCATGATTAGCTTGGTTCAAGCTATGGATTGTACATACATATGTAGGGCTCTGCTCACACAGCGACGCAATGAAAGCAGAAGAGCAATGTAAATGATCATAATCGGAAAGGAATCCTTCTATCCAACCTATGCTGAACTTTGCGCTATTCGGCAGAAAACGCATTCTCTCATGCCGGGCAGGTTGACAGTTGCCTGGAAATGGCTCCATTCGGAACCATATTTCTATAGAGACGTAGCTTTGCTGTGTTGGGTTAGAATTTTAGGCTGTTACTACATGGACGTCCAATAGTTCTGGTGTCTGCCTTGCTGAATCCTAGCTCCACCATATCCCAACATTCTACAGAAAGATGATTGGTGAGACTGCCGATATTTCAAATCTGCCTTTTCCCCCCTATTTTACGTTGTCCGTTCTGGAACTAGCGGAATAGATAATTGGACCCTTTAGAACTCTGCAACAATCCCCGATTCCTCTTAGTAGGACTCGGAGTTATCGTTCTTTCTTCTCCCGACACTATTACTATATCAAGTCACTCATACGATCCATTGATTCCTTCAAGTTGCATATACGCCGTTTTCGCCCCAATATGTGATATTATCAATGACTATGGATGCATGCGGCCACGGGGCTCGGGATTCATTGAATCGACTAACCGGCATGCGGGTCTGTTTCCTGCCAAAATGTTCTCTTTGAAGCTCGGTCAAAGCCTGAGTTGGATAAGTATAAAAGTCGGATGATTGCCTCGCTTCCTTGTTGATACTTCAGGTTCAACAACCTTCAAGTTAACCAGATCTCCAGTACTTCACCATGCGTCCCACCTTTGCCATTGTCATCGCCGCCTTGTTCTCTCTTGGGGTACTTAGCTCCTGCCTTGACATAGCTTCGAGTCCAACCTGACTGACCTTCCTCTTTAGGCTCAAGCCCTGGAGGCTCCAATTGAGGGTTACGGTGTTGAAGACTTTGAATGGGAGGTAGAATCTTCACCCGGTAACAAGCTCCGCGTCCGAGGAACAATCGAAGAAGTGGCCAACCATGTCCGTTCCATCAATCCCAACTACAAACAGGAGATCAGTAAGCGCGACGATAAGGGCTCCTTGACAGGCTCCCTGGAGCAGCGCTACGACAAGGAGAGTATAATCTGCTACCCGAATGGATGGGGCGCTGCAGATGGAAACAAGGTTCAGGAGGGAGTTGAATACCTCAAAAATGACGTTGCTGGAAAGCCTACAAATGGGCCCGGACCTGGAAACTGTGGCCGGGTGAGTTGCAGTTACAACAATGCTATTTGGTGGTGCAATGATAACGTCAGTGTCCCCTTGGCCGTTTATAACAGGTAGGCTACTAACAGTAAGCTAACTGATTTTTCTTCGTGTAGACCGAAAGCAAAACTTTGGACTCTTTCCGAGAAATCGGTCTTGCTGCTGAGGAAATCTGCAACAAGTGCTGGATGTCTGCTGTTAGTAGTGATTCAGGCTTCGAGAATCTTTGTGCTGGTCAGATGTTCATGAAGGACAAGTGGAATGTGATTGTACGTGATGCGAAGTGTTAGTTTGTCCATGTCTCTAGACTTGGGATCAAGACTAGGGTGTGAAATAGAGCTCACGCGTATGTTGGGTGAAAAGGGATATACTGGCTCAAAGCTGTATGCCTACGAGTACGGACTCAGAATGGCCAGGTTTTGGAGTGATGTGTGAGATGCCATAGAGACCAACACTATCTGGCCATCGGAATAGCTACCTTGCAGATAGATAGATGAGCAAATGGAAGGAATCCAGAAAATGCACTGAAAAATCCGGAGGCATCCAGGAAACGGGGCACAACATAATTATGGATACTTTGAATGGTGCTTCGATCATGGTCTTAAAAGAAGTACGGGGGACGAAGATTGATACAACGGACTAGTCGGGCGTGTAGAAGCGAGCAATATCTCTATCTGTAAAATTCACAACCTAAACCTAGCCTTTGCAAATAGAGTGCAGGTACAGTCCCTTTGAATAAGTTATCACACCCAAATTAGCAATACTTGCACATGTTGTGACCCCCTACCCTTCTTTTGATTCTCAAGATATATTCAGCTCGAAATAGTCTGTAAAAAGATTTGGAGTTTACTCTCGAGGTAATCAGTGTTGAAAGGCTTTTCAAGTTCACCAGCCCGTCTTATATTCGAAAGGCGTCAGTTGGTAATAATTTATAGAGCAAGTCAACTTGACTGGTGTATATTCCTCGTTCTATAGCATGCCGTGAGCACTGGATATGCTACCATCTACTGTGCGATAAAACCATCAATGAACTTGGTAATCTGCTCCGCCAAAGCCTGAGGCTGGCTCACAAATGGCATGTGTCCGGTCTTAAAGTCCACAACTTCCCATTCGACGTTAGACTTCTCCAGCCACATATCTTGCAATGATGAAGGGTTACAACAGTCGTCCAGTGTACGCACATACGCTCTCCTACCATCAAACGCACTCTCCGCCCAGGCTGGGGCAGTGGCGGGTGTTTCAAAGGCTCGAAGTGCGTGTGGCTGCATTAACTTATCCAATTCTGGCTCGAGGGCACGGTCGCAGTCATTGTACAAAATCTGCATCGCCGGTTCGATGACAGCAAGCCCCTGAGATGGCTGGAAACAAAATTATTAATACTCTATGGTTATGATCCCGCTTGTTCTGGGGCCCATACCTTGTCTACTTTGATGAATGGAGGGTAAGCGCCACCTACGGCAGTAAAGAGAGATTCTCCATCAAGTGTAATATTGCCCGCCACGTAAATAAGGCCGATGATGCCAGTAGATTGACCTTGGGCTCTTCTGGTCCCCTTTGCAAGTTCTTTTGCTGCCCCACCTGCAACGACACCCCCGTATGAGTGTGCGATGATGACGACATCTTTACCATGTTCGTTCAAAAGAGGGAGTAATACGTGGTTGCGCACGAAAGCGATATCCTGAGGAGAGGACACTTTGGCCGGGTCAGATGGATTGCAACTGGGGTATGATCCTGGGTGTGTTGCGTATCCAGCTTTGGTCAGATACGGTAGCAATTTCTCGAAGCCTTGAGGTGTGCCGAAGGCACCTGGAACGATAACGACCACTGGGAGGTTCGCCGAAGACATAGTGGACGGGATTCTGACTTGAAAACAGGTTGCGACTTTGTTATGTTGAATAATATTGGTGAGAGGAAAAAGGTTGAGAAGTCTGGATTTCTACCAGGAGCTAAAGAAGGCGGAGTGCCAGATTAATATGGTGCGTAATCACAATCAGCTCAGTGTGAGGTTACAATGGAACGCTTGCGAGTAAGCCCTAAAAGGACCACGCCCTTCCAATGGAGGTGCTGTACCCTACCAGGATGTTATTACATGTACATACATTGGTGGTACATATAGGTTAGTGGTAATTCGTGTACTAGAATATATACCTACAAGGGGAACTAAGTGGTGGTTGCATACACTATACGTATCTCGGTAGGTCGGGACAGCCCCTCCTCTCCTCTCGTACTTCAGTTGTCGAGTGGATAAGGATTCATACTAATGTTACAACCGACTTACTACGGTTTTCATGAAAGAACGTGGTGGCGAAAGAATTTGATCTTCAGATTGAGGGTAGGCATTCAATTGAACGGGAAACAAGATAGAGATTAAGACGTTTTGTAAATTCCGGGATAAATCGATGAGGAAGAAACCATGGAACAGTTTGTGGTATTGATCAAAAAACAGGCAAAGCAGAAGGCAAAGCAATATACGAACTGCAAACTTGGAATCCTGCCGAGGAGTTGCTCCTCGAAAACATAGCCACTCACGACAGGAGAAAACAGTGGAGCTTCACTTTGTCGTACACTAGTGACGGATGTTTCTTTGTACTTTTCGGGGCTGAAAGAAATCACTGATTGACAAGGATCTCGCTGTACTGTACATCCTGTACCTGAATTCGGGTCCTAGAGTGGGGATCTTTGCGTCGATACGGGCCGAAACCTTGGAAGTACCTTAGAAAACCAAACTTTCGGCAGCGCTTAAATACACCATCCTAACCTAGAAGGGGTCCTAACTTGAAGACTGAAGTTCGTATGAGTAGTGCTATTTATTATAGTAAGATAATGAGAATTAATTATCCAGAACTATAGAAATCTTTATCATTTTATATACAAAATGTAACTGAAATGTCACAGTGCGCTCCTCTCAAGTTCTCAACCTCTCAAAGTCTGCGTAAGGAACCGATTGTGGGGGTATTCACTGGAACAATAGTAGCAATAGTTGTGAATGCGATCAGCCATGGCTTGGACTACGATGTAGACAAAAGACACGTCCCGATTTTGTGGTATACTGCTGGCCTCAGTTTTGATAGTATGTCAGGGCGATAAATGAGACAAATAGACGGAATCGCAAGAAGGCCTCTGATACTTGCAGGTACTTACTATAAAAAGATTAGTAATAATTTATCAATATAATTAACCTTTACCTCTGTAAAGGTTTATATACTTTTTCACAATGATCGTAATCCATTTAAAAAAGTAAATCCTTATAATTACCGATCTTTTTCAAGATCGGCGTTTATAGGAAGATACTTTAAGTATAGATTATATAATCTTTTTCCTATAATAGAGCCTTAATATCAAAGAAGTATATATATAAGACAGAATCCTTACAGTAATGGTATTTATTGAATATGCAATTAGCGAGCTATAACCTGCCTGAATTGGTTCTTGACCGAGTCATAACATCCCTCTAAGTCCGCGTCGGAATCAATCTACAAATGTTAATTAAAGCAATCACCCAGATGTTCCACATACCTCTATTATCCTCCCTTTATATCTGAGTTCATTGATGATCGGCATCGTCTCCTCATAGAAAGTCTGTAATCTCTTCCGAAACGTGACCTCGTTATCATCAACTCTCCCAGATGTTTTCTGTCGATTGAGAACCCGCCGTAGCATCGTCTCATCTGGGCATCGAAAGTAGAACGCTGCATGAGGATCACCAATCTATCTCGTCAGATTCTTCTCTCTATTGGGTGGATGGTGTGTTATCTACCTGCTCCTCAAACGCGGCTACTTGCTCGTTGTTCCGCGGAAAATTGTCAATGATGAATACAGTTCGCCCGTTGTGTATCTGCCGGTTGATTTCGGGGATCATGATATCCATGATGATCTCAATGGGTACACATGTGCCACCCTCCACCATGCTCTGGATCAATGACCACCGTGCAGGGTTGGCCTTTTGGTCGCGGAGAAGATCTCCGATAGAGAGATGGGCTACGTTAAATTCTGTCGCGAGTCTGGTGCATATTGTTCCTTTCCCTGCGCCAGAGCCCCCTGGATGATTTTGTTAGTGGTAGTCATTCATGGTGATGGTTTGTGCAGACCGAAAATACAAATAAACTTTGCGTTCTTGAACGGTGAGGTTGTTTGTTCCATGTTATATAGATGATTATAATGATCAACGGATATGCCGGATGTTTCGATACGACAAAAACTCCTTCATTCGAAGTATTGTTTATAAAAGAATTTTCGTCGAGCTGCCTTCGGCTGTAACAGAGTTTGACTCGGAACTGGCAATGGCTGTACGAGACTAGTTGAGAAAGACCCGCTACAAAGGCATGCCAAATAAGTTGTGCGCTGATCACGTGAAGTTTTACATACAAAACTCGAAAATATATTCATAGGAAGTCATGTGATTAGCGTACAACTTATTTAGTCCGTATTAAGATATACATTATAACTAGACTGGTGTTTGGCTTAGAGTGGCATAACCTAACCATTGTAACCTAACCTAACCTAACCTAACTAGGGTTAATTAGGTTAAAATATAAAATTCCTTAACCAACCCCTAATTAAATTAAATTAAAATTAATTAATCTTTTTAGACTGGAATTTGGCTAGGTTAAGTTAGGTTAATGGGGTCAGTTATATCTAACTACTAAGTTATAGCTAGGTTAATAAAATTCCTATACTTAATTATAGAGTGGCATAACCTAACCATTATAACCTAGCTATAATCTAACCTAACTAGGGTCAGTTAGGTTAAAATTGTTACGCCCGGGTATCCTACCTAAGGACTCTGCTAGACTGCGGCACGATCCGCAATGTCTACGGATATCCGCAA